GACAGCAGATTCGTTGCTGTAAAGGACATGACCTGTCAGGATCCAGATTTACTTTACCAACAGTTCACAGAGGGTATCGTCAGTGCCGCAGCAAATACACTCGGTCTAAGCAAAAGATGAAGCATTCGTGGTTTTGGGCAGAAACCCTCACTCTTCGCCAAAGCAAGGAAATGTGCCGAATCAGGAGTTCTTACAGAACCCTAATGAGACGAAAAAGAGAGAGTATCGGCATCTCGTGAAAGCAGTCAGTTAACACGAGTTACCACTGTGACGAGTGACACTGATGGAACAGGGGACTTTGAAGAAGGACTAAAAGATGCTGCTGAGACGAGCCAACATCGTCATCGATTTCGGCAAACGTAAGCCCTAACTTGTTTGATTCACAACAAGGCCAATGAGCCCCTTACAGATTCACCGACGGGATTCCCAGTGGATGACCTGCAAATAGATTTTGAAGACCGGGTAGAACTGGACAGTGGCTACCTTCGTTCCATCGAGAAATGAAATCCGAGAAGACACATCTCTGTGGAAGTTCGAAGTTTTGAGGGCACGACAGGATTAGAACGAAAGATCTGAAGTGCCAAGGTGAAGCCCTACTAAACTGGATACATCAGATTTTTGACAGCTTCTGGCGGAAGTCGACAATCCATGACAACTGGAAGCAGGGCATGACCATTCCCATACTGTTCGTTCTAATTGAGCCAATTACCACGGAATCAGCTTCTGTCTGTGCTGAAAAAGGTATTTGCGCGAATCCTCCTCCGAAGACTCAAGAATGTAGTTGAAGGTTCGCTTCGATCAAATCAAACAGAATTTGGAACCGTACTCTCGTGCAGGTATAATATCGCCGTACTAACGAAGATAATCGAACAGGGAAGCAGCTTACAACTACCCTAGCATGTAGCATTCTTCATCTTCCGAGCAGCTTTCAATTCGGTACACCGTCAGTCCTTGTGGTGCATACTGTGACAATATGGAGTACCAAGAATCATCATCGTTCTACTGAAAGGACTGCATGAAGGTACTAAAGGCGCTGTCAGAGCAGAAGGGTCGTTTTAGACTGATTCAACACGAACAGTGGATTGCACCAAGGAGAAGTACTTTTACATCTGTCATTCAGCATGGTGATGGAATATCTGATGCGCAGGAGCATAGTCCTCAAAAGTAGCGAGAGATTTACTATCACATGACGACTCAACTGAATGCGCCTACAGCACTCATAACAGATCTCGAGTTTCTGACGAGCTCATAGTACTGAGCAACTCCGCCAATGTTTTCTAGTACTAACTGGAGAAGTATGCATGTTTGCCTCGAGGCAGGCCTAGAAACTAACCATATCAAAAGGAAGATCTTACGAGCATCCGACTCGACTGATTACCACAAAATTTATTGGAGTAGAACGACCATGGAGGAGGTCGAAAACTTGGAGTACCTCGGCTCTGTACTTGTAAGCGACGGATGGAA